TCACAGTGGTGCTCCCAGGTGAGGAAGAGCATGAGGTTGATGGTGATGGGGAGGATGAGGAGGGTCATGAAGGTGATGATGATGATGATGAGGGTGATGAAGGAGATAGTGATGATGATGATGAGGTGATGAAGGCTCACCGTGGTGCCCCCGGGTGAGGAAGGGTGCGCAGTTGATGGCGATGGGGAGAATGAGGAGGGTGATGAAGGTGAGGGTGAGGAGGGTGATGAACGTGATGATGAGTAAGGCGATGGTGATGAAGGTGATGAAGGTGAGGGTGATGAAGGCTCACCGTGGTGCCCCCGGGTGAGGAAGGGCGCGCGGTTGATGGCGATGGGGAGGATGAGGAGGGTGATGATGGTGATGAAGGTGATGGTGATGAAGGTGACGATGAGGAGGGTGATGAAGGTGAGGGTGATGAAGGCTCACCGTGGTGCCCCCGGGTGAGGAAGGGCGCGCGGTTGATGGCGATCGGGGCCGTGCCGTGGCGCCCGTGGAAATGGTGCACGTGGTGGGTGGTCGAGAGGCTGGAGGAGACGCGGGCGGGGCGGGCGGGGGGCACCAGCACCCCCAGGACCCCCAGCACCCCCAGCGCCCCCAGCGCCAGCACCCCCAGCGCCCCGGGGCCCCCCCGGCCCCCCATCGGCCCCTCAGCAGCCCCCCCCCATCCGGCAGTGCCGGGGGGACCCCAGCACGGGGGACCCCAAAAATGGGGGGGGGGAGCCCCCAAATGGAGATGGAGGAGGGGGGACAGAGGGGGGAGCCCCCAAATTTGGGGGGGGTTGAAAGGAGAAGGGGAGCCCCCAAATTTGGGGGGGTGGGGGTGAGAGGAGAAGGAGGAGCCCCCAAAAGGGGGTGGGGAGGGAGGGGAAAGCCCCTTAATGAGAGGGTGGAGAGGGGGAAGCCCCCAAATTTGGGAGGTGAAAGGAGAAGGGAAGCCCCCAAATGGGGATGAGGGGGGTGAAGTGGGAGAGGGAGAACCCCCAAATCGATGGAGGTGCTGAAGGGGGAGCCCCCAAATAGGGGGAGGAGCTTCCAAAAGGATGGAGGTGGGAGGAGACCCCCAAAATAGGGGGGAGGAGAGTTAAAGGAGAGGGGGAACCCCCAAATGGAGGAGGGGAGGGGGGAATCCCCACAATAAGGAGAGGGGGTGGAGGGAGGGGATCAGACCCCCAAAATGGAGTCTAGGAAGGACTGAGCCCCAA